GATGAGGGCAAGTCTGTCAAGGGTTACAAGATTTATACATTAGGCCGGGTGCGGTGGCTCAAGCCTGTAATCCCAGCACTTTGGGAGGCCAAGACGGGCGGATCACGAGGTCAGGAGATCGAGACCATCCTGACTAACGCGGTGAAACCCCGTCTCTACCAAAAAAACACAAAAAACTAGCCGGGCGAGGTGGCGGGCGCCTGTAGTCCCAGCTACTTAGGAGGCTGAGGCAGGAGAATGGCGTAAACCCGGGAGGCGGAGCTTGCAGTGAGCTGAGATCCGGCCACTGCACTCCAGCCTGGGCGACAGAGCGAGACTCCGTCTCAAAAAAAAAAAAAAAAAAAAAGAAAAAGATTTATACATTGGACTCAGCATTGGAGCTGGAGATCTGATGCCAAGAGCGTGGTGTTGTGTTGGGATTTCCACATCAACTCAGATACTCTCAGAAGGGTGACTGGGGACCCAGGCTGGAGATATCATGGGGAAACTTCCTCTTTCACTGAACCAGAGTGCTTGTGTCTACGTGTTGTATCTTCTGAATGCAACTTCCTTCTCGCTCACCTATCTCTTCTGTGTTCCCGCTCCTGATAGATGAATCAGAGTATGGGGTTAGAGAATGAGGTGATTCCAGGGCAGGGACTCGGGTCTCCTCCTGCCTAGAGATGCTTCTGGCCTCCCTGCCATGGACCGGGGCAGCGGCCAGAGGGTGGGTGGGGGAGGAGAGTGGGGTTGGTTGCACTTGAGTTTCATTCCCCTAGAAGGAGCCTGGGGGTGTGCAGAAAGAGAGAGTGACCACGAACTCTGCACTTCCCCTACACCTCGTGCAAAGTCTGACTCTGATCCTCAGGTCTAGGAAACTCCAAATTCAAGTTCCCCACATTCAAAATTCCTGGAGGGCACCTGTGATTTTGGTGCTCTGCTTCCTTCTCTTGGTTCCCACCATCTCCTGCACTTTTGACTGTAAATTCTTCTCTCTCTTGTCAGCCCTTCTATGGTTTTAAGAAGATTTGCATTAATTGTCTTTCCTGTATTTTTAGTTATTTTCAGTGGGAAAGCAGGTCTGATATCCAGATCATGGAAGCCCTGGAGATGGTCTCTGTCCCTTTTTTGTTTAAACTCATGCCCTGGCCGGGCACGGTGGCTCACACCTATAATCCCAGCACTTTGGGAGGCCAAGGCAGGAGGACCACTGGAGCCCAGGAGATCGAGACCAACCTGGGTCACATAGTGGAACCTTCATCTTTACTTAAAAAAAAAAATAATTAGCCAGATGTAGTAGCATGCACATGTAGTCCCAGCTACTCAAGTGGCTGAGGTGAGAGGATTGCTTGAGCCTGGGAAGTTGAGGCTGCAGTGAGCTATGACTGCACCGCTGCACTCCAGCCTGGGTGACAGCTAGACCATGTCCTAAATAAATAAATAAATAAATAAACTCGTGCCCTTTGTGATGTCACTCAGGCTCATGACTACAGACACTCTTTGAACATGAATGACTCCACTTTTGTCTCCAGCCAGAACTTTTTCCTATTTTTCCTAAATTCCAGACCCACAGATCTAACCCCTTTCCTTTCCCCCTCCACTTGTATGTCTAATAAGCACATCTAACCCACCATGCTCCAAGCTGAGCTCCCGGTTCTTCTCTTGAAGTCTTTTCCTCTTCTCTCAATGGCGGCTTCAAGCCTGCAACAGCTCAGCTCAAAAACACTGACATTATCTGTGGCCCTTTCCTTTCTCTTCCCATGTGTGTCCTATCTGTTGACAAACACTGTTAATTCCCCCTCTTCTCACCACCTCCACTGTGTCCTTGCAGACCTGAGCACCCTCCTCTCACATCCCAAGCATCGCAACAGCTGAGCAGAGTCTAGTCTCAGGAAAGCAAGCAGAGTGATCAGGTAAAAACACATAAAATCCTGCCCCTTCTCTGTTCAACCCCTGTCTTCACAATTCGCTCAGGGTGATGGTTAGTTTTAGGTCTCCACTTGACAGGGCCATAAAGTGCCCTGGTATTTGCTCAGATACTATTCTGGGTGTTCCTGTGAGGGTGTTTTGGGATGAGATTGACATTTAAATCAGTAGACTTTGAGTAAAGTGGATTGCCCTCCTCAGGGTAGGTGAGCCTTGACCAATCAGTTGGAGGCCTGGATAGAGCAAAAAGCCTGGCCCTCCCATGAGTAAGGGGAACTCCTTTTGCCTGACCCCCCTGCAAGCTGGGACCTGAGTTTCTTCCTGCCTTTGACCTCGAGCTGAAACTTTGGCTTTTCCTGGATCTCCAGCCTGGAAGCTTGTGTACTGGAGCTACACCATCAGTTCTCCCAGGTCTCCAGCTTGCTGACTGAGGATCTTGGGACTTGTCTGCTTCCATAATTGTGTGAGTCAATTCCTTATAATAAACACACACACACACACACACACACACACACACACACACACACACCCCGTTGGTTCTGTTTCTCTGGAGAAGCCTGGCTAATACACTCAGCAAAAGTCAAGTTTTTCGTTTCAATTTGAAAGTAGGTACTGTTTATTAACTGACCACATTAGTAAAATAATCATGGTAGACACCCTAGTTCATTCTTCTAAGAAACCTGTTGATCTGGTCCTCCTTGTTGCCAGCATCTCCACCTTCTACAAAATGGGTTGTCTCTTTCCTCATTCTACCCTGTGGAGAGGATCATTTGAATGGCCACAAGAAGTTATTTCTTCTTCAAATCATTTTCCAGCCGTACAGGTCCCAAGAATCAGATCCTCATACAGCAGATGATGTTATCTTTACATATTTGTCAAGCAATCGAAGTGCTATCTGTCAAAGCAATTTGCTTCTTATTGATTTTGTCATAACCATGCTTGTAGATGAATTCATTTACTGACTTCAGGTTTAGGTACCCCCATGCAAAATGTGGTTCTGCAATCCTCAGCCTGTTAATTGATGCTTTGTTGAGCTTCACAAAGTTTCCATTCGAGAGCTGACGACGGCGAAGGAGCTGCAACACCTTTTAGACCTTTGGACTCCCACCATTGACACCTCTGATCCTGATGACAAAGGCCAATTTGGGTTCTGTAGGTGCATAAAAGTTGCCAGCTTTTCTTGCCTTCCTTGCATTCAAATTTCAGTTCTGTCCATCTGCCTATATTCCTTGTGATAGTGCTTCGATTTTTGCTACAAAAGCTTCCTTCTTGTCTTTTGAAGCATCTTTTGGGCAAACTTCCTTCTCAGGCCTTGATCTTCAGCTCCGTGAAATTCCTTCACTTTTTCTTAAGGGTTTCTGGTACAGCAGGAACCTCCTCCTCCTCCTCCTCCTTTCTTCCTCCTCCTCCTCCTCCTCCTCCTCCTCCTCCTCCTCCTCCTTCTCCTTCTTCTTCTTCTTCTTCTTCTTCTTCTTCCTCTTCCTCTTCTTCTTCTTCTTTCTTCTTCTTCTTTCTTCCTCTCTTTGCCACCCTCCATGGCACCAGCTGGACAAGAAAAAAGTGAAGTTCTTATGAGAGCCCCCAAATTTCTTCATGATCAGACCCAGGACACCTCCCAGACCTACCTTCCTACCATCTTCCCCACTGATCACCCCTCCATGCTGGCATATGGCTATTTTCCAAGCACACCACGTGTGTTCCTACCTTGGGACTTTTAAATGTCCCGTTCCCTTGGAATGGATACCAGTGGACTAATTCCCACACACCCTTTGCATCTTTACTCAAATGTCATCTCTTCCAAGTGGCCCCCCAAGCCATGTTGTAAAAAATTTTATCATCACGCCTGTAATCCCAGTACTTTGGGAGGCCAAGTGGTGGCAGATCACCTGAGGTCGGGAGTTCGAGACCAGCCTGACCAACATGAGAAACCCCATCTCTACTAAAAATACAAAATTAGCCAGGTATGATAGCACATGCCTGTAATCCCAGCTACTTGAGAGGCTGAGGCAGGAGAATCACTTGAACCCGGGAGGCGGAGGTTGCAGCGAGCTGAGATCACACCATTGCACTCCAGCCTGGGTAACAGGAGCGAAACTCCATCTCAGGGGGGGAAAAATAAAATCAGTCCTCACTGATTCCTTTTTTGTGTTCCTGTTTTTCTTTTTTCTTAAAATATATCATTCTTTAGCAGACTGTGTATTTTAATTTCATATTAAATGTTTGTCTTCCCACTAGGATTTATTATTATTTTTATTATTTTTTCTTTTTTTACTGCTCTTCATGGAGCAGGGGTACCCATAGGCCGTGTGCTCAGAGGAGCCTCCACTGGGATTTTTGACTTGCCTTCTCATCCCAAGGGTTTATCCTTTGCTGTATCTTCAGCTCCTAAAACAGGGGGCCTGGTGCACCATAGGTGCCCATGAAGCATCAGTTGGATGAGGAAATTCTCAGGGCCAGGCACTGTCCTAAGCACTTTACACATGAGACCTCACTAAATCCCCACACAGCAATTTTACTATGGTCTGCATTTTTCAGCTGAGCAAACTGAGGCACAGAGAAGGTAGGCAACTTTTGTAAAGTTCAACAGCCGGTAGGTGAGGGGTCTGGGTTCACACTTGGTATTCCATGTCCTCAACTTCCACATTTCCAATGCCCGGCTCTCAAGCCTCACCTGGCTGTCAACACCAGGGCTGGGATCTGACGCTGCCTGGGACAAGGACAATGATGAGATCAGGGACCCAAATCCAAGGGGTGGTGGGGACCACATCTCTCTTGACTGCTAAGGACCCGGTCATGTCCACCTGATGTGTTTGTCCCTGAGAACTCGCCGTTCCTCTGGAAAGAGGAAAGTCTTCCGCACCTGAAACCCCCAGCCCGTGCTTCCCTCACCACAGCTCCTGTCATGCCATAAAGAATTTATTCTCCCATCTCGCTGAGGGTCCAGAGGCCCTGACTCCCAGGGAGGTGGCCAGGTGGTGTTCTTCCTGTGTAGACAAAGGTGCATAAGGAAAGTGCTGCAGCTATGGGACCTGGTGACCTCAGGAGTCTAGATTTACAAGTCTGGACAAGCCCCTCGGGGGGCCTCAGTATCTTCACCTGCGGCGTCCAGTGCGGGTGGGAGCAGGATGGCTTCCCAGCCCGGGCCTCACCCCGACAGCACGTGATGCCCAAGTTCTCCTTCTGTGCGCGGCCACAGCTCTCACTCACCCACCGGCTTCCTGTCGGGGCTTCTTCAGCCCCACCCCACATTTGGGGCATTTCCTTCCCTGACAGAGGGACCTGGGACCGGGCTGGGGCCCTGGCGGATGAAGACATGCTGCCCCTGCTGCTGCTGCCCCTGCTGTGGGGGGGTGAGTGAGCTGAGGGAGGAGGGACAGGTACGGGGGTGAGAAGGTGGGGCTGGAACTGCAGCTGAGCCTCTGTGCCCCCGTAGGGTCCCTGCAGGAGGAGCCAGAGTACGAGCTGCAGGAGGAGCCAGAGTACGAGCTGCAAGTGCAGAAGTCAGTGACGGTGCAGGAGGGTCTGTGCGTCCTCGTGCCCTGCTCCTTCTCTTACCCCTGGAATTCCTGGTACTCCCCTCCCCCACTCTACGTCTACTGGTTCCGGGGCGGGGAGAGCCCATACTATGCTGAGCCTGTGGCCACCAACAACCTAAACAGAAAAGTGAAGTCAGAGACCCAGGGCCGATTCCGCCTCCTTGGGGATGTCTGGAAGAAGAACTGCTCCTTGAGCATCGGAGATGCCAGAATGGGGGACACGGGAAGCTATGTCTTCCGCGTGGAGAGAGGAAGGGATGTAAAATATACCTACACACAGAATAAGCTGAACTTGGAGGTGACAGGTATGGCGGGGGCCCTTGGAGAGGACCCTGGGACGTGGAGACCCCCGTATGAGAACAGGGACAGGACCTGGGCAGGGGCGGTTGGAGGAGGTGTAGGACTTGGGGCACGTCGGGGCCTGAGGCCTGGCCACTCTCGGGGTCACACCGTACGTCTTCAAGCCCCTGGGGCCCAGGTATCTCCCTGTCTCCTCCTCAGCCCTGACTGAGAAACCCGACGTCCACATTCTGGAGCCTCTGGAGTCCGGCCGCCTCACAAGGCTGAGCTGCAGCCTTCCAGGATCCTGTGAAGTGGGACGACCTCTCACATTCTCCTGGACGGGGGATGCCCTCAGCCCCCTGGACCCAGAAACCACCCAGTCCTCGGAGCTCACCCTCACCCCGAGGCCCGAGGACCATGGCACCAACCTCACCTGTCATGTGAAACACCAAGGAGCGCAGGTGACCACGGAGAGAACTGTCCAGCTCAATGTCTCCTGTGAGTGGTGCTGGGGACACAGCTGGGTCCCCAAGGGCAGTGGGAGTAAGGGGTGTGTGTGTGTGTGTGTGTGTGTGTGTGTGTGTGTGTGTGTATGTGTGTAGAAGAGAGAGAGAGAGAAGGAGAATGATAACCAGGGAAAATTCGTGTGCGGTGCAGGAAGGACAGCCATCCCCACCTGGTGGGTTTCTGTGGGCCCTCCTTGGGTACCTCCCAGGCCCACGCCCCTCCCACTTGTCACCTCTGACGCTGGGGCTGTATCTTTCTATCCCAGATGCTCCCCAGAACCTCACCATCAGCATCTTCTTCAGAAATGGCACAGGCACAGGTAGGAAAGATCCTCTTCCCTCTGTGGCTGCGATGGGAGCCTTCTATCAGCTCAGGGTTCAGCACTGGGAGAGGAGACCCTCCCTCACCCCTAAGACCCTGGGTCTGGGTCCCTCCGGCTCCCAGCCCCCCCAATCCCGGTCACTAAGATCTTGCATGAACAAACCTAGTATTGCTTTTGGCTTGTCCCTTTTCTCTGCTCCCTGTTTCAAATTTATTTTTTCATTGTGAGAAAATTCACATAGCACAGGATTTGTCATCTCAGCCATTTTAAAGAGTACAGTTCAGCAGTGTTACGTGTGCTCACATTGTTGCAAAACCAAACTGCAGAGCTCCTTTTATCTTGCAAAACTGAAACTCTGTACCCACTAAACAGCCACTTTCCACTTCCCCCTCCTGCCGCCAGGCAGTCACCATTCCACTTTTCTGTCTCGATGAGTTTCAGTACTCAGGACACGCTGTTCCCTTTTCTTGAATTTCTGCCTGCCCCCATGTCCTCTGATGCACGCCCTGCTTCGTCTCTATCTGATCATCCTTTTCGGGAGCCTTCGACTTTCCCACCTCCCATAGCTTTGTCCCAGAACCCTGTTCTTCCCCTCTACATTCCTGAGTGATCCCATCTCTCCTTGACCCTGTCCTGATGCCTCCCACAACTTTATATCCAGCCCTTTCTCTGAGGCACAGATCTGCACATTTAGCCACCTGCCTCAGATGCTTCTCAGCTCCTCCTTCCCTGTTGATGCCAGAGCTGTTCTGGACATCGCTCTAGACAGCACCCTTTCTCATCAGCTGCTCCGTGAGTCCGCAAGTCTTGATATGTTTACTTCACTAATTATCACTTCCCTCCTCATCCCCTTGGTTCCAGGCCCAGCTCAAGTCTCGTGCTCAACCCTGGCCCATTGTCCCAGCCTCCTCCCAACCTCCCTGCCTCCCATCCCACTTCCCTCCAGTCTGGGACCTACTTGGGCTCCAGCAGGATCTTTCTAGATCCAGTGCTTACTCTGTTTCCCTTGCTCACAGCCGCCTACTGCTTTCCAGGATAAAGCCCAAGGCCCTCAGCCTGGCACCCAAGGCTCCAAAAGATCTAAGCCTGCTTCCTCTACCTCCATTATTGTGTCTTGGGAGCTCTAGGTCCTCCCTGCCAGGTTGCAGATATAGGAGCCTCTTTCCTCGTCTTCTTCTCTCAGTTCTTGGAGCATCTGCCCCTGAGCTGCCCATCCACTTGTCCTTAACGTGAGAACTCCTCCTCATCCATCTTTTCTCAGCTCAGCGACCTTCTTTATGATAGCCTGACCTGATCACCAAGTCCTCACCCCTTCACACATGACTAGTCCATTCTCAGCACTCACCACACAGTCTTGTCTTTCTTCTTACAGCTCAGTGGGAGGAGTGAGGGAGAATTAGGCCTCCCAGCTCCACTCACCTGGCTGTGCATCTCTTTCCCAGCCCTGCGGATCCTGAGCAATGGCATGTCGGTGCCCATCCTGGAGGGCCAATCCCTGTTCCTGACCTGCACAGTTGACAGCAACCCCCCTGCCTCACTGAGCTGGTTCTGGGACGGAAAAGCCCTGAATCCCTCCCAGACCTCAGTGTCTGGGATCCTGGAGCTGCCCAACATAGGGGCTAGAGAGGGAGGGGAATTCACCTGCCGGGTTCAGCACCCGCTGGGCTCCCAGCACCTGTCTCTCATCCTTTCTGTGCAGAGTGAGTTGCAGGAGAGGTGCTGAGGGTGGACAGCCTGGTGAGGTATTCAGGTTGGTGGGAGGGACTGAGGCCTGGGAACAATACACCTTACCTTCTTCTCCTTTCCCCCAGGAAGCTCCTCTTCCTGTATATGTGTAACCGAGAAACAGGAGGGCTCCTGGCCCCTCGTCCTCACCCTGATCAGGGGGGCTCTCATGGGGGCTGGCTTCCTCCTCACCTACGGCCTCACCTGGATCTACTATACCAGGTGAGCAGGCCTGCCTGTCTCCAGAAAGCTCCTGAGTTCCAGGTGGGGCTGAGCTGTCCTGCCCCACCTGGAATCAGAACTGAAGTGGCTGGTGCTGATCTGAGGCCCGTGTTGGCTCTGCAGGTATGGAGGCCCCCAGGGGAGTAGGGCTGAGAGGCCAGGCTGAGCGCCTCCTGCTCAAGACCGAGGTGTGGACACCCAGCCCTGCGGGACAGATGCAGAACATCGCTGTCAGCTTTTCTGGAGGCTGACATCCCACTGACACCCCTCTTTTCCTTTCTGCCCCACACCCCATCTGTTTATCCCCCTCTGCTTGTGAGTCTTGCCCCACCACACCTGCATCCCCATCTGCACCCCATCCCCTCCCCAACCCCCCTTCTGTTCCCTCTCCATCCTCCATCTCCAGCCCTGTGAAGGGAACGTTCTTTCGGTCTTATACCCCCAATACTCAAAACTAACCTTTTTTTTTTTTTTTTCAGACAGAGTCTCGCTCTGTTGCCCAGGCTGTGTGCAATGACACAACCTCCGTTCACTGCAACCGCCACATCTGGGGTTCAAGCAATTCTCCTGCCTCAGCCTCCCTAGTAGCTGGGATTACAGGTGCCTGCCACCACACCCAGTTTTTTTTTTTTTTTTTTTTTTTTTTTTTTTCCTGAGATGGAGTCTTGCTCTGTCACCCAGGCTGGAGTGCAGTGGCGCGATCTCGGCTCACTGCGAGTTCTGCCTCCTGGGTTCACGCCATTCTCCTGCCTCAGCCTCCCGAGTAGCTGGGACTACAGGCGCCCACCACCACACCTGGCTAATTTTTTGTATTTTCAGTAGAGACAGGGTTTCACCGTATTAGCCAGGATGGTCTCAATCTTCTGACCTCGTGATCCACCCGCCTTGGCCTCCCAGAGTGCTGGGATTACAGGCGTGAGCCACCGTGCCCAACCAATTTTTTTTTTTTTTTTGTATGTTAGTGGAGATGGGGTTTTACCATGTTGGCCAGGCTGGTCTCGAACTCCTGACCTCAAGCAATCCACTGCGTTGGCCTTCCAAAGTGCTGGGATTACAGGCATGAGCCGCCGTGCCTGACCGCCAAAAGTTACCTTCTTAACGCTTGAATTTCTGGTCTCCTCAACTTCCTTATCCATATAGACACAGACAGGCAGCATTTGTTTTCCAGTTAAAACTCTACCTCACTATGATTATTATACAATACAATTATTATAAAATAAGTAAAACTTTTATGAAACAATACAACGTAATTGATTTTACTCTTTAATGCCTCTGTGAGAGTTTGTAGACAAAAATTATGTCTTTTGTTTTGTTTTGTTTTGTTTTTGAGACAGAGTTTCTGTCTTGTTGCTCAGGCTGGAGTGCAATGGCGCGATCTTGGCTCACTGCAAACTCCGCCTCCCAGGTACAAACGATTCTCCTGTCTCAGCCTCCCAAGTAGCTCGGATTACAGGCATGGACCACCACACCTGGCTAATTTTTTTGTACTTAGTAGAGACGAGGTTTCACCATGTTAGCCAGGCTGGTCATGAACTCCTCACTTCAGGTGACCCACCTGCCTTGGCCTCCCAAAGTGCTGGGATTACAGGCATGAGCCACCACGGTTGGCTGAATCAACTGTTTTACATTATGTAACATCACTTTTTGTTCTTGGTAATTTTCTTTGCTCTTAAGTGTACTTTGTCTGCTATTAACATGGCCATTCCAGTTTTCTTTTGACTGTTTGCATAGGATGCATTTTCACATCCTTTAAGTCCTAGCCTCACCTCATTATATTTGAGGTGAACATTTTAGAAAGCATATATGTGGGTCACACTTTTAATTTTAACTCATTCTGGCAATCTCTAAATTTTTTAGAGTATTTGCATTTAATGTTATTATTGATATGCTTGAATTTAGGTGTACCATTTTATTATTACTATTTTTCTTTTTTATTATTTATTTTATTTATTTATTTCTACCATTTTCCTGCCCTGTTTTGGGATTATTCAAACATATTTTTGTATTCTGTTTCAATTTATTTACTGTGATTTCTTTGTTTCTGAGACAAGGTTTTGCTCTGTAGCTCAGGTTGGCGTGCATAGCTCACGGTAACCTTGAATTCTCGGGCTCAAGTGAGCCCTCCACCTTAGTATCCCAAAGTGCTGGGGATTACAGGCATGAGCCACTGTAACTGGCCATATCGACTGTGGTTTTTTTAACAGCTCTATTGAGATATAATTTGCATACCATAAAATTCCCCTTTTTTTTTTTTTTTGAGATGGAGTCATGCTCTGTCACCAGGTTGGAGTGCAGTGGCGTGATCTTGGCTCACTGCAGCCTCCACCTCCCAGGTTCAAGTGATTCTCCTGCCTCAGCCTCCTGAGTAGCTGGGATTATAGGTGTGTGCCACCACACCTGGCTAATTTTTGTATTTTTTAGTAGAGACAGGGTTTCACCATGTTGGTCAGGCTGTTCTCTAACGAACTCCTGACCTCGTGATCCACCCACCTCGGCCTCCCAAAGTACTGAGATTACAAGCATGAACCACTGCGCCCGGTCTTCTCCTCTTAATTTTTATTTGCCTTTTATTACTTTCTTTTATAGTTGCCTAGTTATTAAAATATGCATCTTTGACATATTGCAATCTTTCTCGCATCAGTAGTTTTATCTCTTGAATAATACGAACAACTATATCTTCAGATACATATACCATTCCTCCCACCATTTTTGTTATTATCCTATATTTTACACCTATAAATGTTATCAACTTCATAGAACATTATAGTTTGATTTCAACAATGACAACTGTTAAAAATTACCTACATGGTTATGATTCGCTCATGAAATTCAGGACTTCTATCAAAAATTATTTCTTTTTAGACTGAAGAACTTACTTTTGTTTATACTGCAAGGCTACTGGAGTTCAACTGTGTTAGTTTTTTTTTAACATGAAATATTATTTTAATTTTTGAAAAATTCTTTATCTGGGTATGGAAATCTGGATGATAGGTTAAAGATATCACTCTATTGTCTTCTGATTTACAGTTTCTTTTGTTATATCATCTTCATCATTATTGTCACTTCGTTGAAAGTAACCAGTTGTATATTTCACATAACTGATTATTTTTAATATTTTCTTACTATCATTTGACAATAAGTTCTTACTATTGAGTGGAATGGGGGGCAGAGAATGGGGGTGAGGAATGCAAGTGGAGATTGAGTTGGAGCTGCTGGTGGTCTCTGTCTCTCCTGTAGAAGAGGTGTAGATTCTTTCATGGAATAGGAGGGTCTGTGTGACCTCATACTTCATGCCATCTCCTACACCTGGAATTCCAAGACTGCCTGCAATTAAGCTAATGGTCTGGGACAAACCTCTAATAAACGTGAGCAGCTAATTCAATCTTTTTTTTCTAGTGGTTATAAATGACTCTAGATCCAAATATACAAAATAAAGTCCAAGTTGATTCTAACTTCTTAGAGACCCTCAAATCAACAGTTCCCTGAGAACTAGAATCTCTCAGGTTGTTGAAGTAGGTGGAACTGAGAGGTACTTGGAGTTCTCATATGAGATGTACCCTGGGACATAAGAGCCTTGCTGTGAGACTGACAGGTACAAGTCTTCTCAAGGAGACAGCAAGAAGATGGGGACTGGAGGAGGCATCAAAGCCCAGCTTCAAGAGGACCCTCTGCTATTCATGCTATGGAGAGTAACCAGCCAGAAACTGTGGTGAGAACATGACCCTCAATTTCTCTTGAATGACACCTATCCTCTCCACCTGGGGGCCTGAGGTGCCCTGTACTTTGATGCTCACCTTCACTTTGGTTCTCCAGGAGACCAGAAACAGCCTAACTGTTCAGGTGCCATTTCCTGGAGCTGAGGCAACCGCAGAGAGAACCACACTGTTGAGCATGGCCTGTGAGTCACTGTCGTCGCAGGACCTCCAAGCCCTGGGAGAGGCAAAACCTGTTGGCTGCGGAATGGACATGTCACTAAGCAGCAGAGTCCTCGGTTTTCAGCTTAGGTCAGGGCAGCAGGAAAAGGCCGGAAGGATCTGGTTAAGTTCATTTAGACCAGAACATCCTGGAGCTGCCCCATGCTGGAAGCACATCCCCCGCTCTCAGGGCAGGGTAAATGTTAGGAGCTGGTTGCAGATCACCTGGGTCCTGGGTGGGCTTTGAGTAATGTGGGTGGAGATTTGATCTTGGCACCAGTTCCTCCCTGTCCCTCCCCTACTTCCACATCTTTACTCTGTCTCTGAGGGGGCAGCAGCAGGGCTCCTGACCTTGGGTACTAACTTTGCTGGGGTGAGAAATCTCTTTGGGAGTCATCTTTCTTCTAATCTATAGCCTTCCCTTGTTCTACACCAGCTGGCATAGCTCTTTCATTCCTAGGGAGTCCAGACCCTCCCCTACAACCACAGCTCTGTGTTCACTGCAGATGCTGAGACTCTCCAAGATGGGAAGAGCTTTGGAGGCCAGGATAAACTCCGTCTTCCTCAGGACACAGGGAGTCAACTGGGGATGTTACCAAGAGGATTTCCCAGCCTTACTGACTCACTGCCCCAAATGCCCTCAGGCTCAGATTTCTTTACCATCCTGATCCACTGCTTGTCCTGCCACTTCTCACATCCTGGGCCTCCAATCCCCTCTCCCAGGACTCAGACAATAAATATCTTCTTTGCTCTGAGATTCTGTCTATGAATCTGGCTCCAGAAGGAAGAGAAGCTAGGGACCTCTAGTGTTGCACAGGAATTACCCTTAACCCAGAATCAGTTCCTTCCTCTCCCACAGGCAGCCTACTTGCCAAGAGGATCAGACATCAGGTCTGATGAGCAGCATCCTCATTGCACATGAATATCTTCAATTTCTTAGATGGTGATGGGAACAATTTTTGTCTTTCAGTGTTCCACTCTTTACCAGCACCTGACATCTTCAGACATCTAAAAGTTTTCCAATTTGGAAAGTGTGTAATAGTATTTTACTAGTGTTTTGAACTTAAGTTTACCCACTTACTAATGAGACTGAGTACTTCTTCATCCATTTTGTCGGGGCTGGATATTACTTTTATGAGGGATTGCTTTAAATCTTCGGTTTCTTTCATGCCTCTACCAAATTTAGGATGTTTTGGACATTTTATTCAAATATTTTTGTCTGTTCCATTCTGTCTTTCCTTTTCCTGCAGGACTCCAATTACAAATAGTTAGACGTATTTGTATTGTCTCACATGTCCCTGAGTCTCTGTTTCCTATTAGTTTTAATTTTTTTTCTCTTTTTTTTCAGGTTGAATAATTTTCATTGATCTATCTTCACATTCACTAGATCTTTCTTCAGTTATCCATTTCCTTTAAAATTTGAGATACTGTATTGCAGTTTTCAGTTTCAAAATTTTCATTTGCTCTTTTAAAACAAATATGTTCTATATCACCACTTAGATTTCCTCTGTCTTTATTCGTTATGACTATGTTTTCCTTTATCTCCTTGAGCATAGTTATAGTAGCTGCTTTAAAGTCCTGGTCTGTTGTTTCTATCGCTTGGTCATCTCAGCATTGGCCTCTGTGTATTGCCTTTCACTTTTCCCCTTTTCTGTGTGTTGTTACATTCAGGTAGGTCCTATGTTCCCGTGTTTTCATATGTAGAGTAGCTTTGGATTGGATCCTAAATGTTCTTAAGGTTACATTGTGGAGACTCTGCAACAAGTTACATTACTTTAAAGAGTATTTTTTAAAGCAGGCAAATAATTTGGTTCAAGTCAAATTGCAGACTATTTCTTGCCTGTGATGGGTGACAGCTCAAGTCTCATAGCAATTCTGTCATCTTTACCTGCAGTGCTTGTGGTATGCCCTACACATACATGGTTCTTAGGTCAGTCAGAGACATGGGAGCATTTATTCTCAGAAGCGGGAGTTCCTTTCCCCTAGCTCTCTCCATTCCAGAATTCTCACCTCATGTTTCAGTGTTCCTAATTGCCCTGGCTTCATCCCTTGTTTCTCAGTCCAGAAAGATGGAAGTTCTATTAGAATTTTAGCAGCCCATTTCTGCATTGTAGCTCTGGCCTAACACTGGAATACAGCTATTTATTCCTTGTTGGTCCCCTTCCCCAAATTTTGACTCCCATCCAGCATCTATTTTCTTTTATCCCACTTTCCAAGTAGTTTTTTTCCCCATTCAAAGCTTATAACTTGTAAGGATTGTTTTTTGTTCGTTTTGTTTTGTTGTGGTGGGTTCACTCTGCTAGGAGCTCACTCCTTCATAATAAAAACACTACTCCTTCTCTTTCGTTTTGAAGGATAATTTTCCAAAATGTAGAATTCTAGCTTTGCATTTTTCTTTTAACCTTTTGGAGATGTCATTCCACTTTGGAGGGCGGTGAGTTTCTCATGACAGTTCAGTCATCAGTTTCTTATTGTGGTTCCATCTAAGAGAATATCTGCTTATGTGTTGCTGCTTTTATAATTTCTTCATTCTTTTTCATGAATATAAATTTTATACACCTCAGGTATTTTTCTTTTAAGTTCTCTAAGTGCACGTAGCAAAGAGAGTGCAATATTTACTTCTTTTCTTTATGCTTTCACTCTTGATATACTCTATTTATGCTACAATAGAAATGTGTGTCTTCCCAAAATTTGTATGTTGAAATCTTAAACCTCAAGATGATGGTATTAAGGGAGGTTGGGGCCTTTTGGGAAGTGATTGACCCATAAAGGTGCCATCCTCATGAATGGGACTAGTGTCCTCATAAAAGAAATAGAAGGAAGTGTGTTTTCCTCTTCTGCCATGGGAGGATACCACAAAAAGATACTATATGGGAAGCAGAGAATTCTCTCCAGACACTGAATCCACTGGCACCTTGATCTTGGACTTCCCAGCCTCCGGAACTATGAAAAATAAATTTCTGTTGTTCACCCAGCCTAAGGTATTTTGTTATAGCAGCCCAAATGGACCAAAACAATTTATCTTTTCCATCCTATGTCTTCCCCCTCTTTATTGTTTGGGTAACTTTGTTGGAAGAGACAGCTTGGACCACCACAGTACATAATAGAAAGTGTGGCAAAGTAAAAGAGGCAGTTCCTGTTCATCTCCAGTTAATCACTGTCATAAGGAGAGTGCCAGATCTCCCAATTTTGAAAGGTAAGTTGAGTAAGTTCATATTATTTTAATACTTCTCAATATTGAAATATTGAAAATAAATTTATAATTTCCAACGCATAAAGACTTATACAATTCTATAAACAGTAATAATTACAGGAATGCAAATCAAAACCATTAGGAGATACCACTTCATACACGTTAGAATGACCACTATTAAAAAACAAAACAAAACCAGATAATAACAAATATTGGTGAAGATTTGGAGAAATTGAAACCCTTGTGCATTGCTGGTGGGATGTAAAATGGTGCAGTCACTATGGAAGATGTTATGAAAATTCCTCAAAAAACAAAGCATATAATTGCTATGTAATTCAGCAATTCCACAACTCCACTTCTGAGTAGACACCCCCAAGAATTGAAAGCAGGGGGTCTGATATTTGTACACCAAGGTTCACAGCAGCATTATTGATAATAGCCAAAACATGGAAGCAACATAAATGTTTATCAGTGGATACATGGATAAATGAAACGTAGCATGCATCAGATAAAATCTTACTCAGCTTTAGAACAGAATGCAGTTCTAACAAACGTTTTAACATGGATGACTTTGAAGACATTATGCTAGGTGAAATACACCAGACAGAAAAGGACAAATGTCATATGAGTCTACTTATATGAGATACCTAGAGTAGTCAAATGCGTAGATACAGAAAGTAGAATGACACTTGCCAAGGGCTGGGGTGAGAAGGAAACGGAGAGTCAGTGTTTAGTGAGTACACAGATTCAGTTTGGAAAGACGAAAAAGTTCCGGAGATGGAGGGTTGTGATAGTTGTACAACAAGATGGATATATTCAATGCCACTGAACCATACACTTAAAAATGGTTACAATATTAAAATTTGTGTGATGCATTATTTTACCAAAATAAAACATTTTCTGGTCAACACTTTCAGTCAAACATAATAGAAATGCAAGCTAAATATATCTATCCAGTGGATGCCCAATCAAAAGTAAAGACTTCATAGCTACCAGAGTGTTCTCTCAGTCCACACCTCTCCTAATTGGAGTCCTTCATAATTGCCTCCACATAATTCCTGCCTCACTTTATCATACCATCAACTCAGTCTCAGGTTGTAACTTTATCCTCAGCTCCTCCTCTCCTGCTTTGAATTTGTTAAAATTGTACTGTACCAGGCTGATATCTTCCAAGAGTTTAACAGCAGATTTAAGTTTTGATGGTATGAACCAGTAGTTCCCAAATCTTGCATCCTGTTCAGATTTTAAGATCCCCAGAAAGTAACTGGATCTCTCATGCTTAATAATCACAGAGAATCCAAAGCTGCCAACTTAACCACAATATGTGGGAGAGTTCCTGAGGGTGATGGGTGATTGACATATGCAAGCTGGTATCCCTTCCCCAAACATGAGAACAAAGACTTCTTTCCTGGCTTTCCCAGCACTTTGTACACATATATTTTGGGTAGCACTTTTCATTCAAGGTTTGGGAGCAGCAGAAAGGAATGGCCCTTCAGGATAAGAAGTAGGTTAAATTGGATGCTAGACATCGTGTTGCAGAAATTCACCATTCATCCCCACCACAGAAAGTCTTTCACTGGATTTTGTGTCCTATCACCACGTTGTTGAGTCCAAGAGGTCATCCCCCAAATCCTCGTCTCATTGCCACTGAATCCAGAACTTTAAAAAATGCTTTCTCTATCCTCCATAAGGGGGAGCCTTAATGTTCATGTTCCTTTTTTTATCCAGCACCATTTTAACTTCCTCTTCACCTCATCCTTCAGAAATGTATACATCCAAAATTACCACTAGTAATTTTGTCGTCTGAATTTCACCTCAGTAAAAATACTATCACCAGTTTGATTTGAAAACAAAGTAGTGATAAACTATATACACACTCCTGTCTCAAGGCAAATTCTGTAGCCCTTCTTGAATGGGAAAATGGTTATTTCTTTACCCCAATTCTTTTTTTCCTTCTTTCACCCAATTCTGTATTTTGTGTTACTTTACTTTTATTAGGATGGGCATTGTGCCCCTGAGGTGGGCCAGCCTGGCCTCTTCCTTGCCCTTGGGGCCCAGCTTTGCTGGTAGAGTTTGTGAGGAAATTTCCTTTTCTGCCCTTCTGTCTATATCTTGTGGCTTCTGGTTGCAATTTCCTCTTCCCTCACCCCAACTGTTTCTTGCTCTTAATAGACAGCACAGAGGATGGGGGTTGGGGGAATGAAGCTGTCCCTGGGCAAGATCTGGAATCTCCAGCTTGAGAGATGCCTCTAGTGTTAGTGGGACAAATGCCAGAGAGGATCAGGTGGGGTTTGGGGCTGGCACTGCAGGTATCTCTGTCTCTCACCCAAGGAAACAAGTGACCTAATGTTCTGTACATTCTCCTACACCTGGGATCCTGGACTCCTAAAACTCACTGTAGCCAGGCACGTGGAAACTGTGCTCTAGTGATCACAAAGGAGAGAGTGAAAATAAAAAATATAATTCCCAAGATCAATGTCACCTCCTCAGTTGCTCCCAGGACAATAACTCTTCTCTGAGTACTGGGGGATTCCAGATGGGAGTTAGTGGGAGATATATCTTAAGAGGATGTGGTATAACAGATACCTTTTACCTAAGGAGTCACCGTGAGAGTGACAGGGGCACAAATTCTCCAAGAGTGAGCAACAAGAGGTGGACACCAGGGTGAGGCCACACCCTGGAGTTAGGATGAAATCTCTTGTTTCTCATCACTCAGAAGGGACCCTGGAGCCCAGTGGAGAGGAACCACCCATTACCTTCTCTCAAAAAGGTGCTGCCTTCCCCTCTCAGGGACCTGAGACCCATCACTGCTACCTCACTCCTTGTCTCAGTGGTCACCTTTACTTCTGGCCTTCAGGTGCTCTGCAGGTGCCCTTCAGTTTTCCCTTTTGGAAGCTAGAGAAGCATGGAGAGAAACAGCCTCCTTAGCATGGCTTGTGGGAGCTGGGGTAGGATGTCAGGGTCCTGGGGAGACAAGACCTTTGGATGTGCAGGTCCTGTGGAGGCAAGACCTCAGAGAGGTAGAGCTCAGGGTCTGGGCCAGGGGTCAAGTTTTCAATCTTTCTTTTTATAAATAGTGTTATTGGCCGGGCATGGTGGCTCACATCTGTAATCCCAGCAATTTGGGAGGCTGAGGTGGGCAGATCACAAGGTCAGGAGATCAAGACCATCCTGACCAACATGGTGAAACCCCATCTCTACTAAAAATTCAAAAATTAGCTGAGCGTGGTGGCGCGTACTTGTAGTCCCAGCTACTCGGGAGGCTGAGGCAGGAGAATCGCTTGAACCCAGGAGGCGGAGGTTGCAGTGAGCCGAAATCGCGCCACTGCACTCCAGCCTGGGTGACAGAGCAAGACTCCATCTCAAAAATAATAAATAAATAAATAAATGATAAAAATAAATAAATAGTGTTATTTATGTTTTGCTCAGAAATCCTTTCCTACCTCAAGTTCATAGTGATTTCCTGCTATATTATTTTCTAACAGCCCTATTGTTTTCTCTGTCATATTTAGGTCTTCAAGCTACCTGTACTTGACTTTTATGCATGAGCTGGGGGTCAAATTTCATTGCAAACTTATTGCAAACTTGATTGCATTAAGTTTTGCCCACGCATTTTTTGAAAAGTTGGCCAGGCACAGTGGCTCGTGCCTGTAATCCCAACACTTTGGGAGGTCGAGGTGGGAGGACTGCTTGAGCCCAGAGGTTCGAGACCAGCCTGGGCAACATAGTGAGACCTTGTCTCTACAAAAAATTAAAAAATTAGCCAAGAGTAGTGGTGCATTCCTGTAGTCCCAGCTACTCGGGAGGCTGAGATGGGAGGATTGCCTGAACCCAGAGAAATTCAGACTGTGGTGAGCTCTGATCACACCATTGTACTCCTTCCTGCGTGACAGAGACACTGTCTCAAAAAAAAAAAAAATCAAATAAATAAAAACCAAAATAAATAAAAAGAAAAATTCATCATTTGCCACTTCCTCTATCACACATGATGTTTCTTGTGGTTAAGGTCTATTTCCAGGTACTCAGTTTTGTTCTACTTGGTCAATACATAATGGTCTTCTTTTTTTTTTTTTTTTTCAGACAAGGTCTCACTCTGTCAGTCTGTCACCTTCGATGGAGTGCAGTGGTGCAATCTTGGCTTACTGCAACCTCCACCTCCTGGGCTCAAGTGATCCTCCTGCCTCAGCCTCCCAAGTAGCTGAGACTACAGGCATGAGCCACCATGCCCAGCTAATTTTTATGTGTTTTGTACAGATGAGGTGTCACCATGTTGCCCAGGCTGGTCTTGAATTCCTGGACTCAAGTAATCCTCCTGCCTCGGTCTCCCATAGTGCTGGTATTACAAGTGTGAACCATTGAAATGGGCCTATTTTCTCAGCTTTTTAAAATTTGAGACAGTCTCACTCTGTCATCCTGGGTGGAATGCAGTGGCACAATCTCAGCTCACTGCAACCTCCACCTCCTGGGTTCAAGCAATTCTTGTGCCTCAGCCTCCCAAGCAGCTGAAATTACAGGCACATGCCACAATGCCCAGCTAATTTTTGTTATTTTTTAGAAAAGGAAACAGGGTTTCACCATGTTGGTCAGGCTGCTCTCAAACTCCTGACCTTAAGTGATCCATCTGCCTCAGCCTTCTAAAGTGCTGGGATTACAGACGTGAGCCACTGTGCCCAGCCTGAAATGGTCATATTTTCTATAATGTTATAATACATCTTTTTATCTTGCAAAACCATTCATTGTTCTTCATGGTTGTCTTGATCATACTCGAACAATTC